CCAGGAGGGCTTGGCGCCGTGTGGGTCAGCTGTCCCGTAGCGTCGGCCAAAGTATTGGCCGACGCCGGCAGGCTGCTCGTCGGCTTCGTGAGCGCCAGGATCACAGTCCTGGCGGCGAGACCGATGAGATGCTACAAATGCCTAGCATCGGGACACACGCGCGTCAAGTGCGACAGTTGCTTTGACTGCGGCGGACTGTGTTTCCGCTGCGGTCAACCGGGGCATAAGGCGGCAGAATGCTCTGCCGCCCCTCACTGCCCAGTGTGTGCGGCGGGCAATAAGCCCGCCAATCACCAGATGGGGCAGAGAGGCTGCAAGCCTCCCCGCAGTTCTCGGCAGACGTCGGGGGTTAGCCAGTCGACCCAGGCTGCCTCCGATGTAGTTCGTGCGTCGACGTCGTCGCCCATGGAGGAGGTTGTAGAGACGATCCAGTAATGGATCAAGTCTCCAACCTCCTGGTCCAGACGAACCTGAACCACTGTGCCGCGGCGCAGGATCTCTTCCTTCAAACCATGGCACAGTGGTCGATAGGTGTTGCCGTAGTCGCGGAGCCCTATTCTGTCCCTCCCCGTCCAAACTGGATGGGTGACTGGGACGGCTCCGTGGCAGTCGTCGGTTCCACGACGGCTCATTCCCCGCCCTTGTCGCTAAGAGACAAGGGCACTGGATATGTTGCCGTCGAGTGGGGGGGGATCATCATATATGGTGTCTATTTCTCCCCCAACCGGAGTTTGAACGACTTCGAGGTTTTCCTAACCAGCTTGGAGACCTCGATACGGCGACTAGCGTCTGGGCACGTCCTTGTGCTGGGGGACTTCAACGCAAAGTCCACTGCGTGGGGTTCCCCCAGGACGGACGCCAGGGGCGAGGCCGTAGAGGAGTGGGCGGCCTCGGTGGGCCTCTGTCTTCTAAACAGAGGCTCCACCAACACGTGCGTGCGACAGCAGGGGGGGTCGATAGTGGACCTTTCGTTCGCTACCCCTGTCCTCGCCGCACGAGTAAGGAACTGGTGTGTCCTGGAAGAGGTTGAGACGCTCTCGGATCACCTGTATATCCGATTTGAGCTCTCCCGGACCCAGGACTCCAGTAGGGGTCACGTGGCGCGGCGTTTATCCCGCTTTCCGCGGTGGGCTGTTGCCAGGCTGAACCGGGACCTACTAGAGGAGGCAGCCATAATTCACTCGTGGCTGTCTCCTCAGGCTCCGACCGAGGAGGTCGACGTGGGGGCTGGCCGCTTTCGCGATGCGATTACGCATGTATGCGATGCGGCCATGCCCCGCGTTCGAGGTCGTCGGCCTCCAAGGAAGGAGGTCTACTGGTGGTCCCAGGAGCTGGCGGACCTCCGTGCGGCCTGTACACGTGCCCGGAGGTCCTACACGCGCAGTCGGCGGCGTCACCGTGGAGACGGTGAGGAGGACCGGCTTCATGAGGAGTACCGACGGGCGCGGAAAACTCTGAAGCTGGCCATTAGCCGCGCCAAAGAGGAAAAAAGACAGGAGATGCTGGAGGGTCTTAATCGTGACCCCTGGGGTCGCCCTTACCGCGCGGTGCGACAAAAGCTCCGCGCGTCGGGCCCCCCCCTTACGGAGACTCTCCAGCCCAGCTTCCTGCGAGAAGTGGTTGAGGGCCTTTTCCCACAACGGGCGGAACACACTCCCCCGTCGATGGCCTCCCTGGCCGGAGACGACGGGGAGCACGGGGAGGACCGTCCCGACCGACCGACCCGTCCGGGAATCGGAGGTAGGGGCGGCTGTTCTACGGATCCGTTCCAAGAACACCGCCCCTGGGCCAGACGGGGTACCGGCCCGAGTGCTGGCCCTGGCCCTCAACCACATGGCAGACCGCCTCGGGGAGGTGTTCGACGCTAGCTTGGCGTCGGGACGCTTCCCTGAGTGCTGGAAGAGCGGGAAGCTGGTCCTACTGACGAAGCCGGGACGGCCTGCCGATTCGGTCGCGGCCTATAGGCCCATCGTGCTGCTGGACGAGGCGGGCAAATTGTTTGAGAGGGTTCTTTCTGCCCGCATCGTCCGGCACCTCTGCGAGGTGGGCCCCGATCTGTCGGACGCCCAATTTGGTTTTCGGGCGGGGCGTTCGACAGTCGACGCCGTGTTGCGCCTGAGGGCCGTGACCGAAGAGGCCGTGAGCTGTGGCGGCGTGCTGTTGGCGGTGTCATTAGACATCGCCAACGCATTCAATAGTCTGCCATTCAGCTGCATCAGGGAAGCACTCCACTATCATGGGGTGCCAAAGTACCTGAGGCGGCTGGTGGCAGACTATTTAGAGGAGCGTACCGTCGTGTACGAGGACCGAGAAGGTAATCTGAGGTGTCGGCCCATGTCGTGCGGTGTTCCACAGGGGTCTGTTCTTGGACCCCTCTTGTGGAACATAGGGTACGACTGGGCCCTTCGCGCCGATTTCCCCCCCGGGCTGGGTGTAATCTGTTACGCAGACGATACCCTCGTGACAGCCCGGGGGGCAAACTTCCAAGAGGCGGCGCGCCTGGCCACAGGGGGAGTCTCCCTGGTGGTCGGGCGCATTGAGGCGCTGGGCTTACGGGTGGCCCTAGATAAGACGGAGGCCCTGTTATTCCATGGGCCCCGTCGTGGTCCACCCCTGGCGCCTCAATAGTGGTCAACTCGGTCCTCGTACCGGTTCGGGCCCAGATGAAATATCTGGGCCTGATCCTCGACGGGAGGTGGCTCTTCGACGAGCACTTCCGACAGCTTGCTCCAAAGCTGGTCGGCGCTGCGTCTGCCCTAGGGCGACTTTTGCCCAATATGGGTGGACCCAGCGTCGCGACAAGACGGCTGTACACGGGGGTTGTCCGGTCAATGGCACTGTACGGTGCACCGGTGTGGGCGGCGGCTCTGACCGCCCAGAATAGGGTACGCCTCTGGCGCCCTCAGAGGGTAATGGCGGTCAGAGCCATACGCGGTTACCGCACCGTTTCGACGGAGGTGGCGTGCGCGTTGGCCGGAACTCCCCCGTGGGATTTGGAGGCGGAAGTGCTCGCCGAAGTTTATCGGCGAGTGGCTGACTTCCGGGCGGAGAGCGGATTTCGCCCTCCGCCCGAGGATGTGCGCGAGTGGCGCGAAGCCGCTCGCCGAGCCACGATGGCTCGTTGGTCGTTCCGGCTGGAGACTCCACGCGCTGGCTTCGCCGCCGTGGAGGCTCTCCAGCCGGTCATCGCCGAGTGGGCAGGGCGGCAGCACGGGACCCTTTCCTTCCGACTGACGCAGGTGCTTTCCGGGCACGGTTGCTTCGGGAAGTACCTGCACACGGTCGCTAGGAGGGAACTGAGTCCCGCCTGCCACCACTGCGACTGCAGTGAGGACTCGGCCCAGCACACGCTGGCGGTCTGCCCCGCATGGGCGGCGCAGCGTCGGGCCCTCACTGCAGTCATCGGAGTGGATCTCTCGCTACCGGCCGTAGTACGCTCCATGGCCGGTAGCGACAGTTGTTTTACCGCGGTCGCAACCTTCTGCGAGGTAGTAATCTCGCGGAAGGAGGCGGCGGAGAGGGCCCGGGAGGACGACCTCCACTCGGACCCGATCCGCCGCCGGCGAACCGGGCGGCGGAGGCCCGGCTATCACAGCCTCATGCCGCCCTGAGTGTGGCCGCGGGTGGACGGGGTGGGTTTCCCCTCCACCCGCATTAGTTGGCCAGCCGCGAGGGGGCGGCGTCCGCGTGTGCCGGACGTCGCCTAAAGAGAGGAAAAATATCGAGACGGAGCCCGCATCAGGAGCGGGCTGGCGCTAGGAGGGGTCCGGATGTCTTAACAACAGCTGTTCCCGGATCCCTCCTGTTACAGGCGCAGAGTGGCACACCGTTAAAAAAAAAAAAGGGTTTGTTTCAAGTTTTCCTTCGCTTTGCACTGTTGTACTGCGTAGTTTGCTCCCTTAGACGGCTCTTACGACACCCACGGGATAAACAGGGGCGGTGACATCCGTTCAAGACACGGATGTTACAATTAGTTAGGATTAAAAAAAAACGTATTTTCGCTATTGCGCCTATAAGGAGGGTATTGTTTTCGAGTGTAAGTATGTTTACGTACTTAGACTCGAAAACAATACCACAATTAAGTAAAATCCCACAACGCCTATAGTTGATGGATTTTACTTAATTGTGAGTGATACCGAGAATATGAAAATTATAAAAAATTAAATCGGCGTTATGACTGCACGAATCGGCGTTATGACGGCACAGTGGTTTAAGTGGTCACCTCGCCGCTTCCTAAGTTAGTTCGATCCTCACATGGGAAAACATTTTGTGTGATCCACGAAACGAACACAAAAAACGCACAGACTCAGAACAACAATTCTGAGTCTGTGTGTTCTTTGGGTTCGTTTCATGTATGTTTGTAGTCCCCTGCGGCACAGGATATATTCCTAGTGCGTGAGTTGTCTTTTTTAAAGCATAAAAAATATATTTTTTAAAGTAATAATACATTTTCACACAGTCGCTTATCTTTTTTTTTTAATAACTAGCTTGTTATATTTTTTGCGGGTAACATTCTTAACTTTTAAACGACTTTAACAATAAAAGGTTCTCTTTTGTGAACAGTTTCCCTGACGCCAAAACACGTTGTCTGTGTTCTTTAGTAACGGACACGAACATGTTGTGGCCATAGTTGTGGATAGGAAAAATATCCGTAGGCTTTTTTTTAGCACTCGAAAAAGTTGTACCCATATGTGAAGATGATGATCCGACCGCTTCGTTCGTGTGCACTCATGCGGCTGATCTTTAAAAGCTCGACCACTTCTAGCGATCAGGTATAATTACCATAATGGTGTGCTCTCATGCCCCCTAGGCACAAACCCATATGTATTTACTTATAAATTACTTTTATTTTACACTAGGTGTCCTGACAAATAATCCTGTCAATATTTTTATAAAAAAAAATCCCGAATTCACCATTTTCATAATTTTTGAGCAAACAAAATCACGAATATCTAGATCATACTGTGCTGTGTTACAACTAAAAATAATAACAGACTCACCTGTCTCTCTCCCGCTCCTTCTCCTTCTCCCTTTCTTTCTCCACCTTCACTCTATCGTTTTCAAGTTTAACTTTAACTTCACTCACTTTCTCAGTATTCTCACTTCTACTGATGGCTGAAAACACATGAGAGTTCACATTCTCTTGCTTGATCTTAAACGGCAATTCCAGATTACCATAGCAAGGAAGTTGTCTTCTAGGACTTGCTTGGAACCTTAATGCTTTCAAAGCCATGTCTAAATGAGTAGTAGCCGGTCTTCGCATTCCACAACTTTCTATAAGAACGTTCGACCTCGTAACTCTTGGGTATTTGTATTTGAACATGGATCTTTGAAAATGTGTGTTAATGATCCTTAGTTGGCGGGACACTGAAGTTAATATTTTCTTGGTAACGTCATCGTCTGACATCTTATTGACCATCTGGGTTTGTGTCCACCAAGCGTTGAGACCTCCGAACCAGTCTCTTTTCAATGGATCCTGATGAATTTCTGCCAAATTGAACCCCTGATTGAAGTTTTGAAAGAGCAGAGGGTTCCTCAATGGAGGGGACTTCTGCATCACGTGGAGCTTGAGGATGGCGGCGTCTCCAAACCCTCCGGAATCGAAGACTGGCCATATCTTGCTTAGCTTTGAAGGTCTCGAGTTTTCGCCCCATAAGCAGAGATCTTTTGATTCGCTGAGTTTTCTTTTTTTGCCTGTGAAATTAAGATATGCTGGGTTTAGTATTAGGTAGTGTTTATACTACTACTTACTACTACGAATGTATGTGTGTATATATCTTTCATAGACCTATTTGGTTGTACTCTGTGTGGGTTTATAGAGAGCTATCTTTAAAATTAGTTATGGTCCTACTGTAACATAGATATGGTGTTTGTAGCAAGTACATTTGATTGTAAATCATTATCATCATCAACAGCCTTTACTAGTCCACTGCTGGACATAGGCCTCTCCTTAGAAAGGAGGTTTTGGCCTACTGCACCACGCTGGCCAGACGGGTTGGTATAGGGTTTTTGCCAAGTTTTTCTTTTTTTGTCTTGCGTAGTTTGCTCCCTTAGTCGCCTCTTACGACACCCACAGGATGAATAGGGGTGGTGACACTCTGTATTCTTAATCCGTCACCACACGGAATACGGATTGTAAATATATACACGCATTAGTTGATAAACCTGTAAATTGTATAGGGGTGAAATATACAAATAAATAAGTAATAAATAAATAAATCTTACACATTCTGTAGCCTAAACGGCTTAAATTTTACTAATTCCTTATCTTAATAGTAAGTGACACTGGGTATATGGAAATTATAAAAATTAAAATATCGCCAGCTTGTAAATTCTTAGTATATATTTTCTCGTAGTCGGGTTTTTTCTATGATTAACTTGTTTTATACATTTATTAATCACTAGCTGAGACCCGCGGTGTTACCCGCGTTTGTTGTTATAACCGCGGGCAACGCCGCGGGGCGAAGCTAGTCTAAAAAGTGTAGCCTAAGTTACTCCTTATGTCATCAGCTATCTGCCAGTGAAAGTCCCGTCGAAATCGGTCAGGCCGTTCCAGAGATTACCCGGAACAAACAGACAGACAGACAGACAGACAGACAAAAATTGTAAAAAATGTTATTTTGGCATATGTGCCGTGTAAACATACATATGCATTTAGTAATAAGCGGTTATTTTAATATTACAAACAGACACTCCAATTTTATTTATTTCTATAGATACGAATTTTTAACTAGACTTTTGTTTTATATCTTACTTAAAATGGAAGTGCAACAATTGATTTTTAAATAAATATAATACATAAAGGAACGATAGGCTCGTTGCCGACCACTTTTATATTACATCTTCTCGCTGTGGAAGAATGTCTTGTCCCAGTAAACACTAGAGAAATCTAGATACAGTTGGTACAAAGTGTAATTCTATTGTGTCGTTTGAAATATTTAACTAAGAAAATATTCAGCACGCGCGTATGTCGGTTATCGCTGTAAATAGTACCTAGCCTATTTCCTTCCTCAAGAATCAAACTATGTAAATACCAAATTTCATCTAAATCGGTTTAGCGGTTATTGATTCCTCATACAAACTTCCACTTCCCTTTTAACCCCCTTAAAGGATGATTGCGTGGATAAAAACTATCCCCATGTAATTTCTATCACTAACTATCTCTAGACAGACAGACCGACTCACTATCGCATTTATAATATTAGTATGGACTAGTATGGAATCCATTAATGGCCGGCCTGATTGCATTAAGATGCGATCGGGCCGCCATGCCGCGATTGAAGGGGGAAATGTTCTCCCCTGGGATAGGGCTTGATTAGGCATGGTGTCAATTCGGGGAGGACCTGAAATAACATGGTCCGGGTCCTCCCCAGAGTAGAACACCTAAGGCCGGCCGTCGGGGTGGTTTTTAGTGGAATCACCAAATACTCCTGGCTCCTGAGTCCCCGAGAAGCAGGAGATCCGAAGGCATTTTCCACCCCGTCACAAAAAAAAAGAAAGAAAGTATGGAATCCATTAAGTAAAAGGATAGTGTTATGTGCAGTGTCTGGATAGTGTTATTATAGCAGAAGGCAGCACAGGGATCGATCCTTTTGATTTATAATAAATGGGATTATTAGAAAATTTAAAAATAGTTTTTATGTTCTATAATCGTATGCAAGTTTGGCATATGCAACCAATGCTCATGAAGTAACCTAACATATTCCATAAAAGTAACTGTATGAAAAACGACTTCACCCAATGGAAATAAGTACAATGAGATGAACATAAGATAAGAATGGAAAAAAAAAAGTATATTAAAGGGATCTTGACAAAAAAACTTGCGACAACGTCCGTCGTGATATACATGATGAGAAGAAGTGAAGTCACATTAGAATATGGCAGTTGAGATGGTAAACAAAGACTTACTAAGTCCACCAGTTACGTTTTGTTTGCTTGAAAGAGTAGGAATATTATCTTTAGTAGGATTCGGGCGCCACTTGAAATATTACACATATGTACTTAGGCCAATATTCAAAAAGCGGCCAAAATACTTTAAAGGTTTAACTGGATTACACATTTTAAGTCTAATCTATTCCGATATAACTTCGTAAGATAATAATTGCTAATATCTTTAAAAACCCTCTGTTCATTGATTTCAGTAGGACTTCATGTAAATTTTATTTTATTATTTTTACAATTGGATAAATGAAATGTACCGTGCGAGAGCCATGCTTCGGCACGAAGGGGCTGGCTCGACGGAGTGATACCACGGCCTCACAGAAAACCGGTGTCAAGCAATTCTTTCGTTGCCTTTCACTGAGTGAGTGAGGTTACCGGAGCCCAAACTCCAAGGGCAGCAACGCACTTGTGACTTTTGAGTTGCAGGCGTCCATGGGCGGCGGTAGTTGCTTACCATCAGGTGACCCGTCTGCTCATTTGCCCCCTTATACCATAAAAAAAGTGGTAATACACTTCAATAACTACGGTGTTTATGCATTCCTAATTATTTTCCTCCTAAACAGCTGCCCGAGTTTTTGTACTTCTTGGGCCATGGACACGGTGAAATCAGCTGTCATTTGGGTTGCAGTCAATAAGTGGCGTTGCTTTGATGATCTTTTTGTCGACTAAATTGGAACAGAACAACGTCTATCGATTAAGTTAGTATCTGTATTCTTTTAAAAACAAATTACTAGCTCAAAACTGTGCATAGAAATACCACCTTGCCGTCAGCTTACTTGAGCGATGAGGAAAGAAATCTAGCGACAAATAAATCTACCGTAACCGCGCTTTTTTTAACGACTGCAGACCCGTCCGACCGATGAGAAAGTATTTTTTTTGTGTTTTTACCATTTCATATCACTATCAATTGTTAATACTGAATGGAAGTTGTGGATAATATATGTCTTTAAGTCTTTTTGCCACTAGAAACGACCAAAGATGGTTAACCAGTCCTTGTTAATGACCGTCTGATCAAAAGAGGCAGATACTGTGAAAAAAAATGCGATTGACATCTTGGGATGTTCAAACAGTGAAAAGTTTTAAAATAAATATGATCCTAAAATGTCTATTGTCCGTCACTTTTAGTGTTCTATGTATAATGTTAATTGTAAATGAATTGTATATAGAATTTTCAATGAAATGTACAGAATTAACTTTGCGCATGTTTCTAGGTATTTTTTAAAGAGGTGGGAAAAGAAAAACTAGATTACGTTAAAAATTCTTTACACAATTGGAAAATATGAGAATACTCTAACAGTCCATTTAAATAAAAAAAAATGTGTAAATAAATATAATACACCAAATGTAAAATTCATTTGTTTTGGAGATGTATTTTTTGCCATAAATTATTTAAGCATGCAGTGATTTTTAGTGGTTACAAACTCAAGCTGAGGACCATTGATGACTCAGTTAGGAAGAAAACTAACACACAATCTGTGTGAGGTGACAGGAACTATGGATCAAATGAAAAGCATTCTTCAGCATTGTGACTGTGGAATTTTAGAACTTACATGCAACTACTCAAGTAATGTAACTGAATGTGGATCATTTATGTGTGATTAAGATTGAAAGTTTCTAATTCTTAATTAATTATCTTTTAACCATTCATGTCTGTGGAGCTACATTCAATAACTATAATGAAGTCTAAAAAGAAAATAGTTCAGAAAGAAAGTATGGAAAACTAATATGTATTATATAGTAATATAACATGTATCAAAATTCATGTTGACTGAGTTTTTGGTTGTCTGAGTGGTGACGGATTAAGAATACAGAATGTCACCACCCCTAGTCATCCCGTGGGTGACGTAAAAGCCGACTCAGGGAGCAAACTATGCAGAACAACAGCACAAAGAGAAGGAAAGCTTGAAACAAACCCTATGCCAACCGTCTGGTCAACATGGTAGAGTAGGCCAAAACCTCTTTTCTAAGGAGAGGCCTATGTCCAGCAGTGGACTGCTGAAGGCTGTTGATAATTATAATGAATTAGTTTCTGTAGTTCATCATCTGCCTACCCTTATCCCGATTTTATTTGGGATCAGCATGGCATGTAAACTAGGCTAGCAAAATATTTTTTTGTATAACATATTCATAAAAATGATAATTTGTTTTGTTTTCGCTTCAAAAACTCAAAATGTTCTGCACTGACCTAACTGAAAATGTGACATGATATACAACCCACTTCAAAGATGTTTTTTTACCTATCTTCAGATCATTTTTGTTCCCTGTTTCTCATGAATCCAACTACAATGTGCCACAGCAAAGCATGGCAGGGTACAGCTAGTTATAGATAAATTATACACACACACAGAACTAATGATCATGTTCATCACACAATTATTTGTGGTGGGTGGACCAGAACCCACAATTTCCGGATCAGCAGTTAGTATCTTTATTCACTAGACTGAAAGGCCGGTTGAAATCTATTCTACTTAAGAGCATATTCATTCTTGTGTAAAATGTGTGTTTTAACCTTTCATTTAAAAACTTATTTATTGAAGACTGAGTAACTTGTGTAGTACTGTGATATACATTAAGTTTCACGAGTAGATGTCACCATTCTCTATTAACTTCAAGAAGTTTAAAAAAAAATATCGGACATTGGTGCTAATTCTGTTGTTCGAAAACTCTCTAAACTAAACTAAAAATCACTAAAAATTTGTTTAGTCCAGTCAACTACTATGTTTTCAAAATACGAAACGTTTTTTAACAGGACTAAACAAATTTTTAGTGATTTTTAGTTTAGTTTAGAGAGTTTTTGAACAACAGAATTAGCACCATTGTTTATGTATAAATGATGGTAGATTGGTATTTCTTGGTGAATATTCATTTTGAGATAAAAACTATGTAAGATTGGAGAACAGCAAGAGAATATACCAATGGAAATAGAATAACTTAATAAGTTATGAGGCTTGCACCATGTTTGGTAACCTCAGTCAATCAGTGAAAAGCGTTAAAAGAATTCTCCACTGGCCTGATGGTCTAGGGGTTAGTGACCCTAACTGTAGTCGTGGGTTCGATTCCCACCCAGGACAAATAATTGTGTGTTGAGCACAGTCATTTCTTCTGTGTCTGGGTGTACTTTATCTATAATATGTATCTATTTAGAAATATAGAAGTATGTTTATCAGCAGTCTGGTTACCATAGTACAGGCTCTGCCTAGTTTGGGATCACACGTTTGTGTGTGAAATGTGTAAAATATTATGATTATTGATTAACATTGGTTTTTTTATCACTCTGGCCCATATAGGCAGAATAAATCATGATATAAAGTCTATATTCTGTTTTAAACATCAGCATCTCCATAATATCAAATTATTTATTTAGTTACCAATGGCCAATGGCAAGCTGGTTAAGACTTCAGGCAGTCAGTAAATTGAAATGATTTAGTTATTTAGTGTTGAAGAAGTTAAAATGTAATGATTTTTAATATTATAATATACTTTAGGCAACAATAGAAAGTATGTCAAATAAAGTTAGTACATAATTCTTTTAGTTGTGAAAAATAGAGGGAACAGTGAGGAAATTGGATGGCTGAGAAGAAAAATTTATGATTAATTTAAATATTAAGGATTCCATGGATGTTATAGTGAATTTAATGAATTTATTTCTATATAACATAGGATGATTACAGTTAAAAGATGTTACATTAAAAATCAGGTCATGTAACAATGGACACTTAGTCAATGACTTTTACAAGTCTTTTTTAACTATCATCTAAAAGTTTTACATATTTTATTGTTAATTATAGACAAAAATGAATGTAGACATAAATACTAGGAATAGAAAGTAAGTAAAGTTACACTTTAGCCAGTACAAGGTCATTCTGTGATGCAAGTAGTACTCAACTGCATAAATAGTCTCAGTACTCTGAGAAACCACCAGCGATGGGTTGTAGACCTGCCTCAATAATTATGTCCACATAAAGAGACATCAAAGCGGTATAAAATGCATGTGTTATGTTTATAAACACTTACGACCTCTGTTGAAATGATGTAATTCGACAAACGAGAGGTTACCATCCTTCCCACCAAAATATTAAGTACATTTATACAAGGAACTACTACAGAGATCTTATCGAATCTTTTGAACAGAGGTGAACCAGATTAGTATGTACATATATCACAGAATAATACCTTTGGATTCTAATGAAGGTGTATGTTTAGAATCGGTTGACATACTTGTCTCGAATCTCTGGTGAGACGGTTTTTTACAGTCGTATGCCACACGACGACGTTTAGCACTTTCGCCGGCATCTTCCAAGCTGCTGGAGCCGCAGTATTCGTCATCATAATCGCGGTTTTCACTAACTTTTACATGGGCAACTCTCGCTTCGTTCGAGGACGCCATTGTCCGACGGCTAAATATGTAATCACGATACAATAACTTCTGTTCGTCAATTAAACATAAACTAAACTCATTTGTAGAATCTTAACAACACGTATTGCTTTTAATATCATGTATTATCATTAGAAACACATTGATTACGAATAAAAAACAACTTGCGACGCCATTTCTCGCTACCTCGCACTTTTTTAATTTTTTCTGGAATAGAAATCAGAGTGTACACAGTTACGCAAAGGTAAACGTTGCAAACGGCCACGTTTGTTAATTAGCAATATGTTTTTTAAAGTAAGTTTTTCTTTTAGTTAAATATTAAAAAAATGTATATTTTTTTATTATGCTTTCAATCTGTATATGAATTCAAATATTTTAAGGTGTAAAACACAAAATCAAAACTTATTTTCTTCTCCGATACTACTGCCATCTATGTTAAATTAAAAAATATTAATACGATTCTGTGTCTGTGACTCATGCACTGACGAACCAACTTTCACTTCTGATTTGTAAGGTTAAACAATTTTGCTAGTCGATAGATGGCAACATAAGCAAATGATGATTTGTAATAGGGAATGATGAATCACGTTTTGTTTCAGTCCAGAGTAATTTCGTAATGTCTCATGCTTCGCACTGGCGAGAAAATGTATTTTCTCTGAATGTATGTCTTTAAAAGCCAATTCATTCAATTAAATAGATCCAATCACATGTCAATCCTACTTGATTAATAATAACATTGTCTTAAAAGCGGAATGTAAAAAAATTAATACTGTTATTGTAATATAAAAAAATATTGGCAATGAATCATTTTGTTTTACTAATTTATCCATAAAAATACAGACTTAATTAGATTAAAACATCTCTACTATATGTATAAAGATCGGGCTATTTTGTGGACTACATATTGTTCTCCGCTCGGGTGAGTCTCTGCCGCATTTTCACCAACTTATTTTCTTATATGGCTGTTGTTTAATAGTTAAAACAAAACATTAAACTACTCCTTATGTACTACAAACACAAAATGTGAGCGTTTATTACCCTACTGCCTAACTCTTCCTGGATATAAATACTACCTAGGTAGCTGGATCCCACCCGTACAGGCTGGGGCCCAGCTACCAAATGCCACCCAGACAGTCGTCAGTCCGACCCCGTACTTATTCGAATATATTAAGGAAATAAGATATTTCTAGCAATCTATGTTTACAAATTTGTGTTACTTACTTTTATATCTGTTTAGATAAAACTCAAGGCCAAATTGTATCAACAAGTATTTTGGTTCCATTATAGTAAATATTTAGCTAACCTGTATTTCTAGTAGGTACTTACTGCATGAAAATATTTAAATACAAAGAAGTTTTATACTGAGTAATGTTAAAATATTTAAAAAGATGCCACGGTTTTTTGGTCATTTTTCTTCAACTCACCAAAGTTGACTTTATGTACTGGACGGATTTTTTAGTGGTTTAAGGGGTTCCTACTGCGCTGAGTATTGTGGGTTCGATCTTCATATGGGGCAACACTTTGTGTGAACCACTAATTCTTGTTCTGAGTCTAAGCCCGTTTGTGTCCGTTTCATGCATTTTTGTAAAGACTCGAACACAGGATGTATTCTTAGTCAAGGAGTTGCTTTTATAAAAAAAAACTGATCCATTTGTCAACCTTTATCTGGGCGTCAAGAAGAAGAATTAATAATAGTTAATGGCAGGACGTGTAGTAACGGATTAAGAATACGAAATGTCACTACCCCAATTCATCCCGTGGGTGTCGTAAGACACCAGCACTGCAAAAAGAAGGAAAACTTGACATAAACCCTATACCAACCCGTCTGGCCAGCGTGGTATAGTAGGCCAAAACCTCATTTCTAAGGAGAGGGCTATGTCCAGCAGTGGAATATTAAAGGCTGTTGATGATGTGATGTGAATGGTAGGAAAATTTGGAAGTTTTTCATGGCATCTGATCACCTGATGCATCGATCTGAGGGCATCGATATATACTAGATACATCGATGCCCTCGGATCATAGACTTAGTAGTAGATATATATGGTATCGACGCCTCGGATACCTCCCATCGGACGATGGTCATTGGTCATGTTGACGCGGCCGACTAAAAACCGCGTACTAGTAGCAGTAAAAAAATGTATATTCATAGTGTTAGATTAAGAAAGAAGGGGAAATTAGAGCAGTTTAAGTAAATAATTATCATGGGGAAAGAACTAGGAAGTAAATATAGTACCAAAGTAGTATAAAAAGTAATAAATATCAAATACTAAGAGAGGATCTCTTCTATACAAATAAATAAAATTGGAGTGTCTGTTTGTAATATTAAAATAACCGCTTTTTACTAAATGCATATTATGTTTACACGGTACATATGTCAAAATAACTTTTTTTACAATTTTTGTCTGTCTGTCTGTCTGTTTGTTCCGGATAATCTCTGGAACGGCTGGACGATTTCGACGGGACTTTCACTAGCAGATAGCTGATGACATAAGGAGTAACTTAGGCTACTAACAAACGCGGGTAACACCGCGGGTCTCAGCTAGTAGAGGAATAATAAGAGAGGACAAGAAAATAGAATGTAGATTTAAATTAAAACTAAGACTAAAAAAACTATTTGGTTATGGAAAGAAGAGAAGAGGATAAATAAGGAAGTAGGGAACCAAAAATAGTGATATTACTTAGATATATTTTCTTTATTTTTTTTCAATGGCAGAGGCCTATGTCTAGCAGTGGATTGCGATATCATGATGATGATGATGATGTTTTGTTCCTAAGTTAGTATACCGTTGTACTAGTAATTTAAAAAGTAGCATTTTAGTACTAATTTTGTTATAAATAGAGCGGAACGCCTACAAACTTCTAGAACAGTTTGGCGAATGGCGTCGCTGTAAAACAATGTTACTTAAATGTAACTGTAAACTTAAATTTGAAAAAAGTTTATTTACAAAAAAAGGCGGGGCAACTCGTGTAATTTAGAAAAGAAATTCCTGTTACCTCGACGGACCGTGAACCATCTAAGTGTCAAGTGTCACCCCCTCGTGTGTGGGGACCACAGTTTCTCCTTACTCCTAAAGGTGTTTGCTCCGGAGCGAATCGCGGCGCCATCCTGTCCATGACCATCTCACAGGATACATTCTTAATGATTTTAGAGGGTACGAGTCCAACATAACACCCTTTTTTTTTGTGCGGAAATCCCCTCGGATGTCACCCACCGGTTTGGTGATTTTGTCGGACTCGAACCGTCGAATACGCCGTCTTGGGTACCAGTAGCCGGGGAACCAGGTGTACCCTAGAAAGGAAATCCTGTGACCTGAACCCCCATGTACAATTTATGGTCCCGAAAGGGAGCGCGCGCTCCGTAGCGTCTCTCCGCCACCCAGGCCTGCTTCTGCTAGGGTGACAGATGGCCTCACCTTTCACCCCCAGTCCTGCGCTTTAAGGACTACGGAGGTCAGTGTTAGCCAATGTTGTGTGGTTGTGGTGCAGTGGTAGCGTATGCGACTGCTATGCTGAGGTCTCGTGTTCGATTCTTGGGACGGATCAAATGTTTGTGTAATCTGTAAATATTGGGTGTTTTCTATGTATAATATGTATGTCCGTGTGGTGACGGATTAAGAATACAGAGTGTCACCACCCCTATTCATCCCGTGGGTGTCGTAAGAGCCGACTAAGGGAGCAAACCACGCAGGACAACAGCATTGCAGAGAGAAGGAAAATTTGACACAAACCCTATACCAACCCGTCTGGCCAGCGTGGTTTAGTAGGCCAAAACCTCCTTTCTAAGGAGAGGCCTATGTTCAGCAGTGGACTATTAAAGGCTGTTGATGTGATGATGTGATGATGATATGTATGTATTACAAAAAAACTACATTTGTATTTATATCAGTTGTCTAGTAGCCATAGCACAAGCTCTGCTTAGTCGAATGAATCGAATCCACGCCTCTGGCTTAGCAGTCCGGGTCGCTAACCACTAGACGAAAAGGCCAATCAGTCAGTAAATTATTAAATGACTCGTTGAATTGAGTCGATGGTCCGTGAATTAAGTCTTATTACGTTTTCACCGGCAGGTGTAAGTTTGATTGCACCAGGGACTTCCTTTCTAGGGTATACCTGGTTCCCCGGCTATTAGTACCCGAGACGGCGTGCGGTTTTAGTCGGTTCGAGTCCGACATGCCACCGACAGGTGGTATCCGAGGGGATTTCCGCACGGAAAAAAAAGGTGTAAGTTTGATCACAAAATAAATTTCTAAACGCACCTATAAATATTTGTCAACCAACAAATATGTCGATCCTTTGTCATAATGCCACTATTTTACATTTTTTAAATCTCAATTCACGATAATCTGAATATTGTGGAGTTGTATTGTCGATTCGAAACTCTTAGGTATTTAATATGTTCCTTAATTTAAGGCGACCTGAGTTTATTGTACCGAGACGCACGAGAAGACCATCAAATTTTAATGTTGGACAGGTAAGAAAATTTACTAACTACGTAAACTTTCCCTGGACTCTCACACATATTTCAAGATAAAAATCAGCCAAATTGGTCCAGCCGTTCTCAAGTTTTAATGATACTAACGAACAGCAATTCATTTTTAAATACATATATATAATCTTATATATAAAATTCTCGTGTCACAATGTTCGTTCCCGTACTCCTCCGAAACGGCTTGACCGATTCTCATGAAATTTTGTGTGCACATCGGGTAGGTCTGAGAATCGGCCAACATCTATTTTTCATACCCCTAAATGGTAAGGGGGACCCATCCCTAATTTTTTTTTGTATTGCAATACAACGTTTGCCGGGTCAGCTAGTATTATAATAATATAATAGATAAATTACGGGTGAAATGAATTGGGTTTCGTGAAATTGGTTTTTTGAAAGGTTTTTTTAAATGATATCAAATCATTAAAATGTTTTGCTTACACAGACAACGTCGTCTTATTTAATTATTATTTTTATTGTGTTTCATTCCAAGAAAGATGTCTGACTTTAAAACAAACAGAAACAC